ATACATTAGACATGGATGTGAATACATTATAAATAAGAGTAAATACATTAGACATGGATGTAAATACATTGTAAATAAGAGTAAATACATAATAAATAGCTGTAAATACAGTACAAATAAATGTACTTTGTTATATTTAATTTTTAATGCCATTAAATCGTTAGGTTGCCAGAAGGCTGTAAATTGTAACAATAGACATGTAGTGTAATTGACTAAACATCTTCAGTAATGGTGCAGATTAGTGGGATCCCTTGATTATGCTCCATTAGTAGTTACGGAATAAACATCATGTTAGGTTGAAAAAGAATTAGGACTCTATTTAAATATAGCTATACATGATTTACATCTTTGAAACGGGTAGCAAAAATGCATCTGTCTATTTGAGAAATATTTCCACACAGTTTGCATAACTTTTGACTGGACATTGACAACATTATTCAAATGTCAAGTACGTTTGAATAAAGGACATGTTAATTCTTGCACAAAGAGGATGATTGTGAAAATTATCAAATATTTTAATATCTGAACACGCAAAAAACTGAATTTAAAACAGTTTCAATACACCCTGGTAGGTTGTTTATGGGAAACGCCACAATGCTCAATTTCTTTAAAACGCCAATGAATACGCCGTTGTTATTTTCGTTGATAAAAATGTTCAGACTTATTTATTCGTTTATGATTTTGACAGAAAATTCTGTGTTACTAAAACAATCGGGCCGATTTCGTGAACAAATACCACATTTTTTGTAATTAAAGTTGAACATATGTGATGTCATATAAAGAGCCATCTTCGTCATCAAATGACTCAGTTAACAAACATAGTTAAAAGAGAGCGTCACATCATTAATTCATTCTAAATTGCTTCAGATCACTGAATAAAAAAAATCAATGTGTTTTATTCAAAAACATGAGCGTACATAATTGATTTACAGTGTGTATGAAATATACATATTGTGGTAAGTTATAATATAGTTGTATGCACGTAAGCAATGGTATATATTTGTATATCTCTACTTTAATATACAAATCAATACATTTACAGCATCACTCCGTTGGAGTATGTATAACATGTGTAACAACAACAATAATGCAATATAAATATAATATGAATGACAGAGAAAAAAGTTGATAATTTGAAAAATTGCATATAATGAACTAAAGTTTGTGATGAATACTTTTACTTTTATTGCCTTTATGATATAGATACACGAAATGATAAAATTAAGCCTATTGTCATTTAGAATCAATTAACGACCTAGACTATGGTACTATTAACACTATTACTTTCGCATAAATAACTAATTTCACCGAATATCATCGTTTGATATAGGTAGCGAAAAGTGTCACATTTCATGGGTTAAAAACTAGTTATTCCAGGTCAGGTCATTTGTGTATATTTGTAGTGCATGTTATTCCTATATACGTATATTTTAATTCTTCAATAATATTTCCAAGTCACGATAAATTATTGAACAATGAGCTGTTCTATATTCTATGATGTCATGTTAGTATTCATATATTAATAAACATATTGCACATATTACAATTTTATAATGTAATGGTAGTGATACAGAACTGTAACTTTCTATGTATAAACATTTATAGAAAACGAGGTTAAAGTATCCAATTGATCGCCACACAAGGGATTTTTGTGAAATAATTTTATTACGAATTAGAAGGTATATTATTCAAATGTAGAAGTCTAAATTTTAAGCAGAAGCAGAGACTTTTTCGTTGACAATTATTTAAAACGATTCCATTGTTAAATACATTATTTTACTAATCGTGAATACAAGTT